AATAAAAATCATGCATAAGGTTATTTTTTTTAATTTAATTCTTTATTAAAAAAATCTCGGTTTAGTTCCAAAAAATCACGTCGCCAACGTTGGCGCTACTTTCCAAACCAAGAGAAAGATTTACTTGGGATAAGTATATGACATTATTAGTTCAAGAATAAACAATAACTTGAAACAAGAAGTAAATTTTGAAGAAAATAATTTTCTTGAGTCAAGATGACTTTTTTTTCTGTGTAGTAACAAACACAGATGAACCTTACGAAGACAACACCTGGAAAATGCAACGGTCAAGCTACCGCAGACAGGAGAAAACTTATCAGCCTCTCAACAGTGGGCATCATAGGATAATAGATCACGAGAAAAATCGTGTTGAAGATTACCGCATTAATAAACCGGGGAAGGAGTCTCACCGTTATGTAAATACTGATGAAAAGACTGTTACTCACGATTTTAAAAAAACTTGGGTACCTGCATTTTAATCGAGGGAAATAATGTCGAAAAGTGAAAAAAAAAAGAAACACATTAATTCTTTGACTCAAAACATTAATTAAGAAAATGAAAATTATTTTTTTTTCGTAAAAATTGAAGTTTTTGTAATAAAAAAAAAATAACATATTTTTTTCTTACAAATTAGATTTCACAGCTTTTCAGCTGCAATAATTATAAAAATTCAAAAAAATAAAATTTTTATTTTATTTTAAAGCTTTCTAGCAATTTTTATAATTTTTTAATACCCCACGGAAAAAAAAGCTTTTTCGAAAATGTCGATTTTTTATCAATAAAAAACAAATTACTGTACTTAAAATTTCTGGAAATAATTATTTTTCGACTAATTACTGGCTATTGTCTGACTTTAATTGAGCAGATACCAATAATTACTGGATTTTACAACTAAATTCTTTGTTAGAACGTATGTAAAGTGCTGATAATAATTTCGATAAAACCCAGTCTGACACAGGTGATCTAAAAAACTATTATTGAAAAACGAAATCGTAAATTTATTGGACTGACATCGCGATCCCATTAAGATTATCAACAGTATACAAATCCGGTGAATTCTCCCTCGATATCAGTATCAAAAATTGTTCTCAAGATGAAGCTGACCTCCGCGTTTCTGGTAAGTGTCAATCATAATTGGAAATTTCCCTGGGAAATTATCCAAGTTATACGGTTAAAATTTCCCCAGATTTCAGCGGTGATACTCGCGTTTTTATTTGTCGTAAAGCCCGCGGATTCTTGTCCACCTCCACGTCGACAGTTTCGACCGACTTTCACCATACACCGTGAAGTACACTACAAAAATGAACCTTATGAAGATGAAACCTGGAAAATGCTACGGAAAAGCTACGATAAAAAAGAACACATTTATAAAGATCTCAGCCGTCAGCATCATGTGATAACAGATCATGAGGAACATGATGTTGATGATTATCGCATTAATAAACCGAGGAGAGAGTCTCACCGCTGGGTAGATCATAATGAAAACACTGTTACTCACGAATATAAACAAACTTGGGAACCTGCATTTTAATCAGAAAGAAATAATGCCGAAAAGTGAAAAAAAAAAAAAAGAAAACAAATTAATTTTTTGACTCAAAACATTAATTAAGAAAATAAAAATTATTTTGGTCCAAATAATTTTTTTAGTAAAAATTGAAGTTTTTGTAATAAATAGAGTTTCAAACAAAAAAGTCTAAAATTACAGTTTCAAATAAAATTTTTATGAATAAAAATTGTAATATTGATTTTTTAGTTTTGAAATTTTATTTTATTCTTACGATAAAATTATTAATCATGTAAAATTATTTTGATACCCATAAAGATTAAAAATAAACAATAAAAAGTTTGGAAAATCCAAATGAGCATGCCTTAAGCGCTCATGTCATACATAAATTATTTAGATCGTAACAAAAATTATTCGTTTTTGATTTGAATTTTCCCGCGAGTAGTATTATCCTCTCTGTAGGTCGAACTAAAGAAAAATTTTAACAGATGATAAAACAGTTAGTAATTATACCATCATGTATGTATAGTTTCTGCTTGTTTATAGTTATTTCAATTCTGTTTATGAAAAATAATACATATGGCTGTCGAAATCGCAGAAAAAGTCACCGAACTGACAATTGAAAAAAATTAACTGTATCGAAACGGAATTATTTTGACACGCAATTTTCACAAGGGTTTTGATAAACTTCCTCAGGAATAAAACAAAAAAAAAAAATTAAATCGTGAAAGTGATTTTTGACAAAGTTGTGGTGTTGTCAAGCTCATAGCTCCCGTGAATACCACGCTCATTATCCATTTAATTCATCAGAAATACGAGTTTTTTCTGAGAAATCTTATTTAATCGATAAGAAAATTTTTTTAACGTCTTCTATAGTTACTATTATTTATTTCAATATGCTTTTTATCCATAATTTTTTTCGTTTAAATTATGAAAATCACGTTTTAATCGAAATCACGATTTTTAGGCGAGAGTAGAGCATACCTGCGCGCTTTGCGCTTAAGGCATGCAAAAAAGGCAAATTAATTTTTTTGTTGAGTTTAGAAATTATTATTATTATTATTAATAGAAAATTTTAACTCAGTGATAATAATAGTTTTGTAAAAAAATAAGTTTTGAAAATCAATTACGTCAAACTAAATTAAAAAAAAAAAAAAAAAAAAAAAAATTTTTTGTTGAGTTTAGAAATTATTATTATTATTATTAATAGAAAATTTTAACTCAGTGATAATAATAGTTTTGTAAAAAAATAAGTTTTGAAAATCAATTACGTCAAACTAAATTAAAAAAAAAAAAAAAAAAAAAACAGATTTCAATAAAATTTCTATCGAAAAACAATTAAATTAAACTACCATATTCATACGTACTAAAAAAAAAAAAGTAAAAAGTAATTATACAAAGTGAGTTTGCAAAAACATAAGTGAAAAAAGAAATTAAAACAAAAATAAATTGATCATATATCAAAAACAAATGTTTACAAATAAAAACAGCATGCACGCAATCACAAGCAATAAACATCATATTCATTAATCAATATATCATCCGGTATATTTTTAGTTAATAAATTATGATATACTGTTCTACTACACAAATATAAATCGTACAAATACTGTCGATAACAATTTTACAGATAACTAAAATGTGTCCGGGTGATAACGTTTAAATACGAAAATACTCCTCGATCAATAATGTATGTTCCATCTATATTCTATACTTATATTTATATATATATGTATATGTATAGATATAGATACAACACAGACAGATATACTAAATATATTGATACAGACACATTGATGTATCTGGCAACTTAGTTATCTATATAAACAACTTACTTGTGATAAATGAGTATGCATTAATCCATTCATTGAGATAGCCAACCATCGCAAGATCCTCTTCTGCAACTACCAAGATATCTTCTTGTATTTTTTTTTCCTTCTTATATTTTTTTTAAAAGTTAATTACACGGTTTTAATTTTTTGAAAGTGCTATCTCAGTGCAAATTATCATTTATCATTTATCATTTATTATTTATCGATTATCAGTAACATTAATAACAGTTTAAAGGTTGTTTAACTTCCGTTGACAAGAAGGCTGTTAAGCTCTTTACCTACCGACCGAGTTAAATATACCATGCAGGTTGAGTTCATTCCTCATTCCCCTATCTACACCCCCAACCAGATAAAGATGCAAGTACTATATGTAATATATGTATTACTACGAACAGCGTAGAAGTACTTACTAGTGATATGACAAATGTGACCGATCAAGCGGTAAAATTAAGAGAAAAAATTTGGGTCATCTCGATGGCTGACTTGGGAAAATTACAACTTTTTAATCCAATTTAATCCGCATCCTCGTGGGATTTTTTTTTTTAACTTATTAAGTTTTGTATATTCGATACTGGGTTAATTAATGGCCATTTAAATTTTTATTTTAATTGTTAAATTGATGATTTGATCGGACGGGAACCAGCGAACAGATTTTAATTTTGCTTTGTTTTAATTGGGGGTCAAAAAACACACAACGTACCGCGTATCGAAGATATTAATTGCCAATAATTTAATTTTTTAATCAAGAGCCAAATATTCGAGTTTCGCGGTGTTTTAATTTTTGATTCGTTTTTAGGGAGCGTGGCTGGAATAATGGATTTCAAAGCCAATTAATTTACGATATTATAGGGATTGATTTTTTAATTTTATTAAAAATTTTTTGTAATATTATTGGTAATAATTATTATAAGAATTAATTAATGAAGGAAATTGAAAGATGGAACTTTGATTGGCGATTTAGTTTATTGGGAAAATAATATTTGATTCCAAATTTGAAATAATTTATTGTAAGTGCGTTTAAATTAACAGTTACTATTGGAGTACCGATAAAAATTTTTTTTAATTAAATTAATGTAAAAATCTTAATATAAAATTGAGATGAAATGTATGTGGCATCAAACTATTCGTAACGTGATTGGTCAAATATATCATAAGCATGAAAATATATGCAAACTCTATAGTCAAGGCGCGCGCTTGCGCGCGTAAATTTAAATTCTAGTATATTAAAAAAGTGGAATGACAAAATGTTTTTGTTATTTATTTTAATGACATTTTGACTTTAGTTTTTGGAAATTTGAACTGATAATAATTTAAGCTTGTTAATTTAAAATTTAAACAAAAAATTAAGCATTTTAGTAGAAATAAGATTTTATTGAAATGTTTTACATGAATTTTAAAATTTTATCGTAAAGATAAAATTTCAAAACTGTAAAAAATCTATATATCGATTTTTATTCATAAAAATTTGATTTTAAACTGTAAATTTTTGAATACTAAAAAAATTATTTGAACCAAAATAATTTTCATTTCTCTATTTAATGTTTTGAGTCAAAAAATTAATTTGTTTTCTTTCTTGTTTTTTTCACTTTTCGGCATTATTTCTTTCCGATTAAAATGTAGGTTCCCAAGTTTGTTTATATTCGTGAGTAACGCTGCTTTCATTATGATATACATAGCGGTGAGACTCCCTCCTCGGTTTATTAATGCGATAATCATCAACAGCATGTTCCTCAAGATCTGTTATCACAATATGCTGACTGCTGAGCTGCTTATGAGTATGTTCCTTCTTACTGTAGCTTTTCCGTCGCATTTTCCAGGTTTCATCCTCGTAAGGTTCATTTTTGTAGTGTATTTCACCGTGTATCTTCACAGTCGGTTCAATCTCTCGACGTCGAGGAGGTGGACAAGAATCCGCGGGCTTTACGACAAATAAAACCGCGAGTACCACCGCTGAAATCTGGGAAAATTTTAACCGTATAGCTTGGATAATTTCCCAGGGAAATTTTCAATTATGATTGACACTTACCAGAAACGCGGAGGTCAGCTTCATCTTGAGAAGAATTTTTGATACTGATATCGAGGGAGGATTTGCCGGATTTTTATACGGTTGATAATTTTACGAGGGATCGAAAGAAGGGATGATGACGTCAGTCCAGTAAATTTACGATTTTGTTTTTTAATAATAGTTTTTTAGATCACCGAGTTTTATCGTAATTATTATCAGCACTTTAGGTACGTTCTAACAAATAATTTAGTTGGAAAATCCCGTAATTATTATTACCTGCTTAATTAAAGTCAGACAATAGCCAATAATTAATCGCAAAATAATTATTTCTAAAAATTTTAGTTACAATAATTTGTTTTTTAATTATAAAAAATCTATACATTCGAAAAAACTTTTTTTTCCGTAGAATATTAAAAAATTGCTAGAAAGTTTTAAAATTAACTAAAAATTTTTTTTATTGAATTTTTATAATTATTACAGCTAAGAAGCTGTGAAATATAATAATTTGTAAGAGAAAAAAATGATAATTTTTCTAACAATTACCAAAAATTTTTTTTAAATTATTAAAATTAAATTTCTTGATTCGGGTAATTTTATACATTTTTAACTGTCAATAAAAATGCGATATTTTTTGTACTAACAATCTCGCAGACAGAAAACAATTTTCTTTTGTAAAATAATTTTTTTGACTCAAAAAAAAATTTTTTTGTTGAAAAATCAGAATAATTTTGGTTCAAATAAAATTACTAAGTCAAAATTAAAAACTTCAAATTATCAAAGTTCAAATTTCCAAATTTACCCCGTAAATTTTCCCTTTAAGTACTAAAATAAATAAAAAAATTGTCAACCCATGCAACAAAATAAAAAAAAAAAAAAAACTAATTAAACAACCCATCCAACAGCAAGCAATGGAACAAAACCTTAATTACATAAAATATCAAAACTTACTGTCATTGTTTGTCCTTGCACGGGGCAAAGTAGAGTCGACAGTAGTCGCATCAATCGTTTCATTATTATTTCTGAGCGGCGGTTCTGGATTTTCTAAATTTGGGCTTGGGCTGAACTCGGTCTTGAAGTCAGTCCGGTCGAAGCCCTCATCAAACTCCGGCACAAGATCCACCTCGTCCGACTCGATGTCTCCGACAAATTGCTCTTGCAACACTCCTCGGGGCACTGCATCACAAAGAATAATTGTTTGTTATTTAAGATTTAATGTTTAATATTTCATTCTAGCTTTCATTATTATTCTTCTTCAATCTCTTTCATTTTTTCTCATCGTAATTATTTGCTCGGTTGTTACTGAGTCCACAGCTCTTGCTCTTTTCGCTCTCAATATTTCCTGCAAATTATTATTTATAAAACAAAAAAAAAATATCAACCAATATTGCATAAAAATACAAACTCCATTGACTTGATTTCTGGTTGGAGGAATAATTTATGAGCTCGGATTCGTTATTTAAATCTTTAAGATAAACACCGGTAATCAGTTTTGCTTTTTCAATAATAAATTATCTCTAATTAACAAACTTTTTTTAAAACTTTTATTGACTTAACTTATAATCTTATTTATAAAACTATTTTTTTGTTTTTTCTTAGCAATTGCAAGAAATAAAAAAAAAATTATTCCCGTAATTTATTCTGGTCTTTGCAAGACTCCGGACCTTGTATTTCGATGAGTTAATTAGTTGACTCAAAAGTTCTTATAAATAAAACAGTTTAACGGAGTTTCCGGTTCATAATTGAGTTTTTCTTTTTACATAGTAAATTATAAAATAAAATTTTCCTTTGAAGTTTTTTATTTTGACTTAAAATTGACAATTAAACTTTTAAAAGAAATTAAGTTCATTCTTGAGCCAAAAAAATTATTTTAAAAAGCTTAATTGTCTGCTTTGAGTTTAAAAAAAATTGAACTGGAAATTTTTTCTTGGCTTAAACAATTTTTATTTAATTCAAGAATTTTTTTTATTAAATTGAGACAATAAAGCTTTTAAAAATGATTTTTTTGGTTTAAAATTTATTCTCAAAAATCAAATTTATTTTTTTTAATAATCGCCGTAATTGTATCTTAAAGTAAAAAAATAAAAATTTATATCAGAGAAAGGTATTGATTTTAAAATTGATTTTTTCTTTTATTTCATTTCAGTTCTATTATCGGAAACAATGAAACAAATTGTCGAGAAAAAATGATAAAAAATTCTTCTATGTGATAACTTGCAAGAGTATCGCTCCGCAGATGCCATAAGGGCGTGTACATTTTTTACTGGTCAGAGTTTTTGTTTCAGAAAATAAAATCCATCAATTGTTTTCAGGAGACGTGTATATATATAAAGACAGAAAAAATTCAATTGATAATTCTTTTTGTTCGTTTATAAATGTCGACGAGTAAAGAGTATCAGTTTGTACTCTTCGTTGGGAAAAAAGAAATAGAAATTCTTTTGTACGCCCGTATGATCCCGAAAATCATAAGGGTACATAATGATAGACGTGTTTCGACTTGTACATTTAAATTTTATACTGTATTCCATGACAGGTACATCAATCATAATAAGTTTGAGTCTCCAGTTGTATTTTATTCATCTGATTAATAATAAATAATAATTATTATTTAAAAAATTTTTTGATAACTTGGAAAAAAATTGAATTAATTTTTAATTATTACTTTTTGTTTTTAAAAATAAAATTTTTATTTATCAGAATATTAATGAGATTTTAATAGCGAATATCAGAACCTGTTTTTATGCTTATTGAAATAGTATATGGCATATATATATATTGCATATTAATTGAAGAATAAGAGCAAAAAAATTGAGCTTTAATTTATTTTTCAATTTAAAAATATGAAACTTTTTTTAGAATATTTTAATATAATAATTGTTATTAAAATTAATTCATTTTTAGTTGATATTTGTAATGATTTATTGCAATTAAGTTTAAAAATAATTATAATTTAAAGATCAAAATAATAATGAATTAATAAAAAAATAAATTTTATTAAAAATGATTTTTAAAAAATTTTTGAATCAAATAGAAGAACATGTAATTAAATAATATAAATATATAATAAATAGCAAACATCATTAAAAAGCAAGCACAGTAAATACATAAATATTGGATTAATTACAATAATTTATGTTTATTTTGGTCTTCAAATTCTCAATTTTATCCCTATTAAAATAAAATTAATTTTTATATTCTTGACAACAATTCACGTCAACCTCAAAAAAAAAAAAATTTTTTTTTACATCATCGACAAAAAGTAAATATTTATTTACAGTTTAAATACATCGAATAGCGGTACCAAATATTTATTTTTAAACATTATATTTTTATATAAATTTTGTATGATTCGGCGAATGTATACTTGTTTGTTTTTTTTTATATAATAACTGCAAACATACGCATGGTATATATCGCTAGTCGATTTTAACGAGCGTAAACCTAAAATCTGCTGGGGATATTTAAATTAATTTATATTCGAAGCATTAAAAATAATTTAAACAAATAATTGAAGTAAATAAATAAATATCTAGGATGAAAAATTAAGGACATTTTTATCCTCAAGGGAGTGAAATATTATTGATGTACAGAATAGAATATCTATTTGGGAAAATACGGAGGTATGTTGGGAAGTTTAGTCGGCAGAGGCGGAGTACAATTTTACGTGACAAACGTATCTCGTCGACGCAAGCAAGTGAGGGCAAATTGCGTCTGTGGCTCGTTATTATCATGCTCAAAGTGATGAATGCATAAGTGTCTAGAGGCGATATTACATACAGTGATAGTAATAGTAGCATGCTACAGAATAGAACGGAATGGCAGTAGGCATACAGTAGTATCATCGAACTAGTTCGAGTGCGCCAGGACAGAGATGGATCGAGGGAGGAAGAAACTGGAATAGAAGCACAGCCCAGCAAACTATCGGACATCAGCAAGCTGATGCATGCGTTCGCTGGTGCCAACTGGCAAGAGTGAATTCCTGGCTGGCAAACTACCTCCTTCCTAAAGTAGGATGTAGGATACAGGATTAGGTTTGAGGGTCCTAGCGCACGCGACCATAACACACTAACGAGGCTCCAGTTCCTATTCGATATGTCACGTGGGCATTTACTCTGCCTAAATTCATCCACCATTCCCAATTCCCACTCGAGATTCCACAACACATATCATAATTATTGACTTTGCACCACGCATTTGTGATAAGTCGCATGAATAATCGATTAATCTCATCTTCCATCAGTTTGATTGAATTATCTAATATTTTTAATAGTTCATTTTTAATACTTTGATGATCTTCATTTAAAGAGAAAGAATTCTCATTTTTAATCGAGTATTTCTTTTTTTTTATTCATTTATTTTGGCAAAAACAAATTAATTTAATTTAAGAGAAAAAATAAAATTATTTTTTATAATAAAAATTTACTTAAACGCAGAAAAATTTTTTTGTTTCAGAAATTTTATGTTTCTTATTTAGCAAAACAAAAAAATTAATTAAAACTAGCAACCTTGCAGTCACTATGTGAGTGCTGTGACTCGTGAACTATGAATAAATAAAATTTTGCTTTATTAAATAATGACTTTTGTTAAATTGCACTGTACTTTCTTAACTATTGACATTTATAAAGATATAAGCTTATCCCGATGTTACACTCATAAAGAGCTTTCATTTGAATACCCACATGCATTTTGATATATTTTTCATATATACATTTATATAATATATGTAATATATATTTAATATATATAAATATATGAAAAATTGATGTGGGTACTCAAATGAAAGGTCTCGATTAGTGTAACATCAGGATGAGCTTATATCTTTAAAAATGTCAATAGTTCACGAGATACAAGGTAATTTCTTAATTATTAATAATTTTAAAGATGTAAGCTCATCCCGATACATATATATATATATATAATACATATAAATATATGAAAAATTGATGTTGGTACTCAAATGAAAGGTCTTGATGAGTGTAACATCAGGATGAGCTTATATCTTTAAAAATTTCAATAGTTCACGAGATACAAGGTCATTTTTTAATTATATATCTAGAGATAGAGTATTTTCGAATGCAGCCTAAATACTTATCATCATAAATTGACTATTGGTGAGAATGATATAAATACACTGGCCACAAAATTTTGCTTATTCTCTTAATAATATAGATTAATAAATTTTTTTATCAATAAACAAATGAATTAAAAATTTCAAAAAATATACATAGTTTTAAATTTTCTATAAAAATGATTAAAATAATGAAAGTGTTTGTATATAAATTTTTATTTCATATTATTATTATTATTATTATTATTATTATTGTTACTAATAATAGGCAAACTTTGAAACAATATTCGAAGAATCTTTCGTAAAAATATGGCAAGAATTTAAATTTCCAGTTGTATATTGTAAAAAACTAGTAATAGTATGCATCCTATACTATAAAAAAAAAAAAAGCAACGAGTTGTTGCCTTCGGCTCATATGCAATCTTATACGCGATGAATGCTCCCTCTACTTTTTTCCCTAGGCGCAATATACTATTAAATTATTTATGAGGTGACCTATGGACATCTTGGCATCAGTTCGTATTTCATAACTTTCTTACAAACTTCTTTTATTTCATAAACTGTCCACATATGATTTTTCTCTATACATTCTAAGAAATTCTATTTTTATTTACAGTAAAAAAATTTACATTATTAATAAATTTTTTTCTTTAAAATATGAGCTTTTGCTCCAAAAATAAAAATAATTTCTAATTTTATAATTATGAAGTGTTTAATTAATTAATAATTTATAATTATAACGAGTAACGCGCCTAAAGCAGTTCACTGAAAAAAAATAAAAATAAAAAGCCTGGAAGATAATTATTCCATAGATTATAAAAATAACGAGGTCATCACCCTATACTTGGATATATATAGACATTTATTAGTATATAGTAGCGGTATGTATCATTGCACTCGGGTAGAAAGTTACATTCTCCATTGCGCTCGTTATCCCTTACACGTACCTCGCGTCGACTCATTATGCCCATTAGCGAGACCTGGGGATAAATAAAACCCCAGTAAAGTAGATTCGCTTTGATCAGCCCTGAAAAAGTTCACGCTGACCACATCATCATTCAGTATAGAAAAATATGCGTACACGTTGCTAGCTCCCAGTATCTACTTCAGACATTATTATAATTATTATTTTTTCATAGACGCAAAGTGATAAAAGAGAGCCAACCCTTTGCCACGTGGCTTAAAGCGAAATATGCTGATGGATTAACCGAGTGCATTCACTGGGAATAAACCATTATCCGGATAACTTTTTAATAAAATACCTTTTTGTGAAGCATAATTATCCTTTTTATCATTGAAAAATATGAATATCAAAAAGCAGAAGCAAAAAATAAGAGTGTAATTAATTGCATTAATTAACGATTGAATCAAAAGATTTCTTCTTTTATTTATTTTGAAGTTTTTATGAACTCTTGTGCATTATAAAAATTAATTTTTCGAAAATAATTATGGTATAAGATTGGGTCAAGAGTAATTTATTTATTTTTGTGCAAGAAAAAATTTATTTGGGTCAAGAAATTTTTTTTTCGATGAATAAAAGTTCAATTCAAGAGAATTTTTATTTTTATTAATATTTTTTTGAATCAATAAATTTTAAGTAATCTGAAAAATGAATTAACATTTAATTTGAATAATTTAATGCAATTAATATATTGAAAAAAAAATTAATTTAATTTAAAAGAAATATTTTTGAATTAAATAAAATTTTTTGAACCCAAAAAAAAAATCGAGTTAATTTTTCTACTTAAAGAACGACGATAAACTCTTTAAAATTAATTAAAAAAAATTAATTAGAAAAAAATAATTAAAATTTAATAATATTTTTGGATCAACAAATTTTTCTTATATAGAAAAAATTAAAAAATTTTTAAATATACTAAGTTCTATATTTTTTATTTGATTAAAAAAAATTAATTAATCAAAAAAATTTCTAAATATCAAGTGCTAAATAATTGATACTATATCCTTAAAAAATAAAAAAAAAAATTTCTTTACGATTCGTAATTATTATCAATTAATTTCACTAAAAAAAGAAAGCAAGAATGTTTTTTTCAGTCGGCGTTAATGAGCAATCGAGGTAAATATTTGCAGCAAACCACTGACCGCCGAGAGGAAATTAAATTTCCCGAAGTTTCCCGGAAAAACTGGCCCTCGAATAGACAGTTTACACTCAACAGCTCAAGTCCAAA